TTGTTGTTGTTGTTGTGTGAGGCCTGGCTGTCCTCAGAGAACACATTTGCATTCATTCATTTCCTGTGAGGTGGATCCTCCCCATCCACACTCATCTTCTGTGGAAACACACTCACAGACATACCCCAAATAATGTTTGACCAGGTGTCTGGGTACTCATGTGCCTGACATGACACAAGGATCCTGCAGACAGCTGCCCACGCTCTCACCCCTTCCCCAGAATTCCACTTTCCACCTCTTCTAGAGCCCCTTCTTTGCTGGAAATTTTGGGCTTTCAGGATTTCAACACGGATTTTAATCTTTCATAAAACCGATTTTCAGGAATATAATCAGCATCACTTTTCTAGCCCAGGATCCAAGCTGGGATTGCACAGTGCATTTGTGTTCCCAATTTCCTCCAACTTGTTAAAGGTCCTTCCTTGGCCTTCATTGTCATAAACTTGACCATGGGAATAGTACTGATCAGCCTTTTTGTGTGTGTGTGTGGTCCTGTGAATTGAAGCACTCTACCACAGAGCTATATCTCTGGCAATTTTTTTTTCTTTTTGGGATACAGGGGCTCCCTAAGTTGCTTAGAGCCTCACTAAGTTGCTGAGGCTGTCCTTGAACTTGCAATCTTCCTGCCTCAGTCTCCCGAGTTGGTGAGATTACATGCATGCACCTATTCTGTACCTAGCCTGATCCGTTATTTTGCAGGATGTTGTGCAGTTTGGGTTGGCCTGATGTTTTCTCATAATTGGATCCAGTTTATGCATTTTGGGGCAAGAATATCACAGAAAACATGCTGAGAAGCCACATGTTTATTAGAGGTGGTGTTTTCTTTGATTACTTGGTTAAAGTGGTGCCTCAGGTTTTCCAACTGTAAAGCAATTATTTTTCCCTGAATAATGACTTTCATAGGGGTGTACTTTGAGACTATGCAAAGGTCCTATTTCTCATGATTCATTTATCCACTGATTTTTAGCATCGCTGGTGGTGCCTGCCTGCAACAATTATTGCTGTTATGTTTCTTTAGCAATGATTTTCCACTTAGAACACTCCTAAATTTAGTAATTGGAATTCTATTCTGGGTTTTAATCCAATACTACCATTATGTATTTTGTTACTTCAATTGGGCCAGACTGGGCTATTGGGAGCATTTGCAGTTGACTTCTTCCCAACCTGCTGCCATGCTTTTTTTTGAGTATTTTCTTACTTTCTGACACCACAAAATGTTCCAGAGTCATCTGTTATCTACCTACCATCAGCCCTGGAATTAACCCTTTCCCTGAGGAGCATTTTTCCTTTAATTGGAAAATAGTATTTAGAAACCAAGACAAGGGAGGCAGGAGTGCTTATTGCTTCTGGGCTGTCACTGCTTCTAGGCCCTCTCAAGGGACAGAGCTAGGAAATATATGTATATGAACACAGAGTAACATAGTGCACACACACACGCACATACACACACATTTTTGGTATTGAGGATCAAACCCAGGGGCACTTTACCACTAAGCTACATTGACAGTCCTTTTTATTTTTTATTTTGAGACAGGGTCTCACTA